CCTACCTATGCAGGAAGTATAAATAGGAGGATTGTGTTCCAGAATGACTTGAGCCTAAATGAGACCTTATCTCAAAAATAACCAAAGCAAAATGGGCTGGGGCATGTTTCAAATGGTAAAGGAGAAAGCCTGTCTAGCAAGAGGCAAGTCCCTGATTTCAAACCCCAGCACTGCCTAAAAACCAAAAACACAATTAAAAAAAAAAAGTTGATCATATAACTGTAAATCTGTACAGCATCTTTACAATAAAATAAAAATTTTTAAAAATGAATTCAATGAAATACACAAAAGTAGTCTAACTGTAGCGAACTCTTCTAATTTCTATGTCCATTGTGTACATATTTTGGTTGTCCTTAATTTTCCCCTAATTTTTCTCATAAATGATTTTGGGTCTAATTTAAACACACACACACATTCCAACTATTACAATAGTGACATGGTTCTAGGTGTTGTTCAGTATAGGAGTTATATGAATTCTGTATTTGAAATAAAAATGCACTATAAAAAATAGTACTATAAAAAATAACTTTTTCCTCTTATGGTAAAATCTGAAAATAAATTCTAGTGAAGAATAGGTACTTATTCCCCTCCTCCTCCTCCTCTTCTTCTTTTTTGTCAGTCAAGGGCTTCAACTCTGGGCTTGGCTGCTGTCCCTCAGCTCTTCAGCTCAAGGTGACCACTCTTCCACTTGAGCCACAGCGCCATTTCTGGTTTTGGGGTGGTTAATTGGAGATGAGTTTCATGGACTTTCCTGCCCAGGCTAGCTTTGCACCATGATCCTCAGATCTCAGCCTCCTGGGTTGCTAGGATTACAGGCGTAAGCCACAGGCTCCTGGCACTTATTATTCTTTATAAAGTACTTCCATAAAATTTCATGTGAACCTTCTATATTAGCTCTAAGTAATACACAGTATTTTCAAACAATGTACTCAGAAGTAGTTTCAGTTTTCTTTAGGTCAGCATTGTCTGGATTCTATTTGGATAATAGCCTTCATAGTTTAAAAAAAAATTCAGGTGTGATAGAACTGGCACAATGAAAGGCCAGAGTTAAAAGGATTGGTTGGTCACCTATAATATAAAGATTACAGTGGCAGGCAGGCAAAGATAGCTTCATTCCAAAGCATCTAGCTGGCTATTTAAGATTATAAGAACATCAGGAAGATCAATCTAAAAAACTAGTTAAATATTTGAAAAATCTACCACTAAAGATTAGTTCCTCTGAACTAGTTCTTTCCAATCTTCACTTAGTTTATGAATATAAAGATATGATGAGAAGGGGAAAGACATTTTCTTCATTTAAGATTACCAACAGTGGAAATCCACTAAAGAAATCAGTCAGCTGAGTTATAAATGAAACTTAACTTTCTCGTTCAAGATTCTTATCCTTCTTATCCTTCCATATTTCTTCCTATTAAGTCGCCAGTCACTGATAAGTCTATGCTTTACAAACCTTTCACTGATGATAAAGTAATTTAAATGGGTTTTTGAAAGTAAACAATTCCAGTTTCAAACTTTTAAATTAAAAGTTGCTCAGTTGGTTACTGTCTCCTAAACATAGTAATATAAATATTAGTTTCTTGGTTAAAATGAATTATTGACAATTTTAATACATGTTGTGCAGTACATATTAATATGGAAAAATACATGTTATCAGCAGTGTAATGTTGACCATGTTCTAATCCATTCCACCTGCTCAAATATTAGTGCAAATAATTATATATTTGTAATGCATCACTGCTGTCTAAAGGAAATCTATGCCTTCTGAATAAATGGTTTGCCTCTGAGACTGTTTGCTATTTCTAGTACAATGTGATATTCTTATTTAATTTTGTATGGAGAGGCAAACTGCAACCTAGCCATTTAGAAAATGAGCAAATGTATTTGTCTTCTCTAAAAAGATACTTAATCATAAAAACCTACTGAATAGTAGTGATAAGATATAAAATATACAAGGCCTAATTTAAAAATATGAATTTTGTTAAGTCTAGGGCTATCAGGGTAGTTGTTCCTATTTACCAACTAAAAGTCTTTTTCTAATGTGTCAGGTTCCTCTCTACCATATGCTTCAGAGGCTGTTTCCTCACTAAACTAGGAAAGAGAAGTGATTTATCATTGGTAGGAATAAAATGTGTTAAACAATTTTTAGAAGAGTTAGCATTCAATATTGGTATTATAAAAATGATTACGGATTGCTTATACAGTACTTTTTGCCCTACATTTTCACTATTATTAGTACTGATATTAAAAAAAAGTGCCAACACACTCTATGGTGGTACGTATCTGTGATCTCAGATACTTGGCAGATAGAAGTAGGATTATAGTCTGAGACTTGCTGGGGCAAAAGGGCAAGACTGTGAAATCCAAATGGCAAAAACAAAAACCAAACCAAACCAAAACAAGAAAACCAAAAGGATTCAGGCATGACTCAAGTAGTAGAGTATTTGCTTAGCAAGAAATGAGGCCCTGGTTAAAAACAGTCAATGCTCTGAACAGAATCAGCAAACTTCTGAGATGTAGTCTATGACTGAATGTATAAATACTGGTTTCCTCATAGCTTCTAAGGTAGTTAAACATTTTCTATCATGTTACAAAATATTGTGCAAAATACCTAGACTTGTCACTAAGCAGAAACAGTATCTGACTGTATAACACTTACTAAAACTTCATGTATAAAAAATTTCTATTAAGTATGAATTTATTCAATTAAAATCTCATGACTGCTTAATTTTAAAAAACTAAGAAAGCATGACCACATACTGGACACATAAGCAAATCCAACAGTAATTTATATACTGATACTACACTCTAACATCATAATCTAAACCTCAGAATGGCAGTCAACCATTGAACAAAAAGAAAAATAGATTAAGCAAAACAAGCCTATCAAACTAAAGAAGCCATTTGTTACATAAGAAAAATAACAGAATACAAGAGAAAGAGAGAGATCCACTATTCTGTCAGGTTATTCTCATATGCACTCGTAAGGTAGTTTCACCACTAAACTTGGAAAGACTTAAAGCAGCTTTTAAATGAGCTTTTAAAAAGCATTTAAATGAGCTTTTAGCAGCTGCAGACCTTCACAGGTCTGTCTACTTACCTTTTTGTGCCTTAGGATTTTCACCTGTTAAATAAAAATAATAGTACTTAGAAGTTACCTTTGAATCAAATAAGAGAATCCATGCAAAGGACTCAGCATAATACATGGGACTTAAATCTAACAAATGTATCTAAAATTATCTTTATTGTGCATTAAAATTCTTTAAATTGTTAACTATTTTGTACTTCAAATAGAATTAGTCTAATAATACAAATTGGTCTTTTCTTCCAAAGTACATCATATATTGTAGGATAAGCCTTCTCAAGCAGAGTAGTACAGGAACTGAATGTAGTTAATTTGTCTAAAAGCATAAAATGCTTTTGATGTCAAATTCTCCACTAGAAATCAGAATTCAGTATGATTCTGAAAAACATCTCAACTCTTCTAAGAAGTCAATATGCAATATGTGGCCAATGACAGAATATTTTTGCATTAAAATATAACTGGCCAGAGGTGAGCTTTTTTCAGTCACCAACAAAGTATGCACTGAGTGAACTGTGCTATCTCCCACATAAATTCAAACAGGCCTTAAGTCACTATATCTTGTAAGTATGTCCATGTTGACAGTTTTATAGTATTACAGGAACCAGTAATGTTTTCTCTTTATTTTTAATACTAACCATATTAGGTGAGAAAAGATCATCTTAAGGAATTACATTTTCTACCTGGAAATCAGTATGTTGACTGATCAATAATTTCACTGTAAGCCAGAAGGATAGTATTCAGAAAGTGAAATACTTAAAAGAGGAAAAAGAAGAATGTTCTAAAATATAACATACATTAATCTATTTCAAATTTTAATTGAACCTACATTATTTTTTTATTTTTCAGTCATGGGGCTTGAACTCAGGAACTGAATGCTGTCCCTAAACTTTTTACTCAAGGCTAGTACTCTACCACTTCTGATTTTCTGGTTAATTTGAAGAGTCTCATGGACTTTCCTGCCCACACTGGCTTTGAACTGCAAACCTCAGATCCTGAAAAGCTAAGATTACAGGCATGAGCCACTGGCACCAGCAATTTAACCTACTTTAAATGAACCTGTTAACTATTCCTAAAACAAAATCCTAAGGACTTGAAACTAGGATCACCTTCAAAATGATGCCAATAACTACCTTGAAATGGTCAGGTGGCCATCTAAAGATCAACTCAGTTGTTACTTAATATTTTTCATCAACTCCTCATCCATTCTCATTTTCTTTTCTTCTTTTTTTTTTGCCAGTCCTGGGGCTTGAACTTGGCCTGGACGCTGTCCCTGAGCTTCTTTTCCTCAAGGTGAGCGTTCTACCACTTGTGCCACAGTGGCACTTTCAGCTTTTTTGAGTAGTTTATTGGAGATAAGAGTCTCACAGAGTTTCCAGCCAGGGCTGGCTTCCATCCATGATTCTGTTCTCAGCCTCCTGAGTGGCTAGGATTATAGGCATGAGCCACCATCGCCCATCTACTCTCATTTTCAATACAGTTAAAAGGACTACATTTCTTTCTTAAATCTGTTTTATATTCCACATACAAAAGTTTTATGAAAAAATAATTTGTACTGTTTTAGTTTTACCTAAATATTACATGTCTTATGTGGAACTGTGGACTGTTACAAAGTTTTCCCTTCATCATCTCTTCCTGGTTATAAATTTTATGATGCCTACATATGAAAATACTTTAAAATCCAGATAACAAAGAATGTATATTGCTTCGCTCAACATTTTTTTTTTCTTAGAGAAATATCTGTGTTTAGGCTAAATTTATAACCTTGATTATACAGTCAAGTACATTTCTGCTAAAAAAAGAAAAAAGTAAAAAGACCAGTGCTATGAAAAATAAGTATCTTAAAGTTTTAAATAGAAATGTTATAAAATTTAGTATGGATGTCCTTAAATGTAAAAAGAAGAGTGAAATAAAAAAACAATTGAAGGGAATTTGTTTATTGAGCATTAATGTTAACACTTCTAAATTAGGTAATCACTTATGAATTTGTCATTGTCCTATAAATGGACATAATGGAAAATATTGCACAAAACTCAAGCATGGAAATAATAATTAACAAAATATCTAAGCAACAAATATATGCTTTACATTTTAAAAATTAATCCAAACAAAATAATCTGAAGTGCTTCTCTGGCTTAGAAGTCTTAAAATGTTATATCTCATATTTCATCTGAGATTTTTTTTCTTTTTTCTTTTTCTTTTTTTTTTTTTTTTACAAATTGACACTGTACAAAGAGTTCAAATGGCCAGTAAAACTACTGCCTTAAATTGTTGGCTTTAAGTAACAGAGGTATAATTTGAATTCACATCAGAGCTCTCTAAAATGGCAATAGAACAAGCATGACTTTTTCTAGTATCCAAAACCTGTTCTGGCTCTCCCTTGGCTGCAGAATATAAATCTGGAAAGCCTTCTAAAGCTGCCACAATGTCCTAAAATGTGTTGACAAAAGTTGGCATAGTTCATCTCCCTTGCTTTGCCTTGGTAACACTGGGCTAAACAGAAAATGAAGAAAATTCGATCAATAGTAACTTAAATGGTTGTTAGTTTTGGACTCAGAAAGTTTGGAAAAGTTAATAACTATTCAGAATCAGGTTCTCAGAGGAAAAGTGGTTTTCCAAATTTAAGCCCCAAAGCCTACATTAAAGGAAAAAGTGCTGAGAACAAATTGAACATTAAAATTGTTCTGGTTCGTAGAGGACTATGAACAACACAATGGAAACTGATACACAACATATAATTTAAAATGCATTTTCACAGAGCAAGTTCATAATGTTTATAGAGTAATGGCCTGTCTAAACTTTTATTAATGTTTATCATGTGTAAGTGACTATATCACCATATTAAGCCAATTCAATTAACCATATCCAAGAAGAAACTTTTAAAACACTCTGAAAAAAAGAATTTATGCATTGGAGAAGCAATCAGTCTTTGCAAAGCTTGTCTCCAAATATAGAATATGTATCAATTCCTCTTAAAATAGAAGATTACCTACATGTTTAGCCCTCCAATCTTATTCAAGTTTAGCAACGATAGAAATTTAAAAGGACTGCACTGATGCTAAACATTGTCAATTATTTCTCATATGCACCTTTTAGACTGTATCTCACTTTTTAACTTTCCTATGCTATTAAAAAATGAATAAATATGGTCCTTTAGGTAAAGTTCTCCAACATATCTTTGTGATATATAAAATAAGGTAGTTTCATTAGTTTCTTGCTAGAACTGGCTTAAAACCTATTTACCAAATAAGAAATAGTAAACTTTAAATTTTACCCAGAAGGCAGGTATGTTCTGATCCACTTTCTAGTGTCTATATAAAACATTTACCATTTTACTTTAATTTATAACATTAGCACTGCTGTTTCTCAGAAAAACTTCCAATCAGTAAACTACAGAAATGATGTTCAACTGCTAACTTTTTGAAAAAAAGCAAAAGATTCAAGAAATCTTAAAAATATTTTGATTAATAACTACCAGTGCTGGAAAGGTCAATAAAAACTGATGGATAATAAATGTGGTTTTGCTGTGTTTCACCCATTATTAATGCATACCCCTTCAGATGGACTATGTGAAAGACAAGAACTAGAGCACTGGTAAATTTTCATTTCCCTTCTCACACCAACATTTTCCAGGATAAAAACAGTGACACGTGGTTTTGCCAAATTTGAAATTAATAAATTCAAGTAACCGGGAGAAAAATATAGCTAGTGTCCAAATTTCAAATAAGACCTCAAGGATTAACTATGGCTGCTGTTTTCTTCCAGTCATTTTCCTTCCAATTAAATGTTGGCTGTGTCATAAGGAATCTCCTGTGCTTTCCATCAACCAAGGCTTGATGAAATAAAACACATTTCCATTGTAAATTCAACCTCAGCTGAAATGTCGAGCAAGGCGAGCAGATCTATAGTCAGCACGAAGTTGTACAAAGGAGTGAAGTATGTTCTTGTCCAGATTAGCAAGTTGTTCTCCTGAGCAGACCTGCTTTAAATTATCAGGAGCCACTACCAGAAGATTGCAAAGTGCATGCAGAGTATCAAAAAGATGTAATACCATTGGAATCTGAAATGAGAGGAAAAAAAAACCCACTGAAACAAAATAATTTCTTACTTTATAATTAATTTGGCAAATGTTTTGTATATACTTCTAATTAGAACTCACTAAATATTAGAACTTGAAAGTTAATACTTGGCTTCTAAAAAGTTAACACTAAAATATTTCCATAATCTTTTGAAAAGATTTGTATTATGTCAGTTGTCTCAATAATTAATAACTGATAAACAAGTTATCATTAACACCTTTCTTAAATAATTTAAACTGAGGGAAAAAGTTCAGAAGGCCATACATGAAAAATATTATTTTCTTAATGTATGGTCATGGATGTCAAATAAGGCTATTTGGACTATGCAACTAAAATAGGATCTGGTGAAAACAAAGCAAGAAGAAAGTGTTAACACTGAAAACAAGACTGAAGCAACACTTTTTTAGATAGAATATGTACGTATTCATCTGCGTATCAACAAAAGTTAAATAACATTTTAATAACCATAATGATCAGATTTATATTTCTGATCTTACATGCAAGTTTGATTTTTTGTGCATACATACCTTGAAGTCTTTGGCACACTTCCTATATTCAGCAACATCACAAATTGCTAACATGCCACCCATACAACTGTAGGAATATTGTTGAAGATGCTCATAAATAAGTCGATGAAAGCGTACTCCAAGTTCCATCAAAACTGTATCTACATTTTTTCCATCCATGGAATTTTTAATCTTCTCAACTTGTTTTCTTACATAAGCACAGACTTTCACACAGGCCTGTAAAAGTTTTCCTACATTTACTATATAGGTATGTATATCAGCTTAAGTAAGGAGAAAGAATAGTATATATTTTTTTCAATAATTTATACAAATAACAGAAAACAGAGGACATAGTAAGATACAGTGATGGAATTTTATTAGCAAGCTGAATAGCTTTACTTACATTAGTATACTGAATCAAAACATTATTTTCATCTTCTGGCTTAAAATCTGTTTTCTTCTGTTCTGCAGCCAAAATATGCTTCATCTGACCAATCATACAATTTAGTGTCCTGGAGAATTGAAAACATAATTTATTTGATACATCTGTTTGATACTTTTACTTATATCATTTACAACACTAAAATTATTTAATATCGTATCACCATAAAACTTTTGCTATTGGTAAACCTCAGAATTAAAAAAAGTCAACTATATGTCTTGAATCAAAAGGCTCATGGCTATAATTTCCTACTCTGGAAGACCTTAAAAATCTGTCCCTCATTTGATTCCTTGACAAGTATCTTCAAGGGCAAAACTATACATACAGTGTTTAGGAAGGTGGAAAGAGAGAAAGCTTAAGGAAAATGACTATGTCATAGAAAAGCAGGTGGGAGATTCCAGGCTCTCAGTCTAAGGGGATTTAAGATGATGAAAAAGTGGCACTAAAGATCCAACTAAGACATGAGAACATAGATTTACAATGATAGCAATAATATGTAATTTATATTCTCCAACAAGCAGTCACACAGCTACAGGAATAACGAGACCATACTGATCCAGATTCTGGCAAGATAGATGTGGTTGAAGAAAACAGATTTAAATAAATATAAAGAAGTAATTCAAGAGACAGGCCAAGTAATTTTAACACAATAATGAATGAAAGCAAGTTAAGAAAAGGACTGTGATACTACCATAAAATGAAGAGATTAAAGGAGATTAAATGAAGAGATTAAAGGTTCTGCTGAAGTCAGAAAACAAGTACACAGAGAATTAAAAAATTGGGACTACAGCAGGCTATGATATAGAGTAGTACATTCAGGCTGAAGGTTCTTATTACCAAGAATCAATAACCAAGAATCAATGATTGGTTTTAGTTATAATAGGTAAGTGCAGATGAACAACAAAATGACTATGAGAAAGATCCGAAGTCCTCAGTAACACAGAGAAAAGGCTGAAATGACAACACAAAAATGAAAGATACAAGCTTTAGACAGAAAGATTTTTCTGGCCTACTGGTATGAAAGTATTAGCAGGGAAGCAAGTAACACTGAGCTACTTAATACGCAAGGTCCTTCAAGAGATCTCATTAGCCCACTGTGCTTTTAGCAGAGTAACTAATGCAAACACCCCAATATTAAAGCTCACAGGCTAATATAGAAGGAAAAAAACTTATTTATACACACATACTATGTATGTGCACACAGACATATATCCATATATCCTCCAAAAAATATGAGACACAGACATCAGTGACAAAAAGCTGGAAAGCTTTTCCTTTAAGAGCAAAAACAAGGCAAGGATGTACACTCTCACCACTTCAACATAGTACTGAAAATCTTAGCTAGAGAAATAGGTTAAAAACTAAAATTAAAACACAAAAGAAAGCATGTAAATTGGTATGGGAAAAGTAAAGTTGTCTCTGCAGGTAACATGATTCTATATAGAAAGCTCTAAAGACTCCATCAAAAATGAATTCAGAAATGTCACAAAATGCAAAATTCATATACAAAAATCAGTTGTGTTTCTGTATACTAACAATGATCTACTCAAAATATCCTAATTTTACTTATAACAAAATGAAAAAAATATTTTAGGAATTAAACAAAGGGGTAAAAAAGACTTGTACATTGAAAAATTTAAAACACAGCTAAAAAAGTTAAAAGATATAAATAAATGGAAATAGCCAGGTGCCGGTGGCTCATGCCTGTTATCTTAGCTACTCAGGAGGCTGAGATCTGAGGATCAGGGTTCAAAGCAAGCCTGGGCAGGAAAGTCTGTGAGACTCTTATCTCCAAAAACCACCAGAAAACTAGAAGTGGCGCTGTGGCTCAAGTGGTAGAGCGCTAGCCTTGAGCTGAAGAGCTGAGGGTCAGCACCCAGGCCCAGAGTTCAAGCACCACAACTGAGAGAAAAAAAAAGGAAATACATTCTATATTCATATAAGAGTATAATTAAAATATCCATACTGTCCAAAGTGTTATACAGATTCAAAGTATTCTCTATCAAAATTTCAAGTGTTTTTCACAGAAATAGAAAAAAAAATCATATGAATTTTCAGTTCTAAAATAGCCAAAGAAATCTTGAGCAAGGATGAAACTGCAAGTATTATACTTTAAATTTCAAGATGTATTATAAATCCAATTAACAGTATGGTAAGTAATTACAACAGTATGATGCTAGCTTTAAAACAGACATGTAGGCCAATGCAATAGAAGACAGGGCCAGAAATCAACTCAGGATATTATAATCCATGGATCTTTGACAAGAGTGCCAAAGACACACAGCAAGAAAAAGTATCCTTGTTAAATGGTGCCATGAATATTGCTTGATCACAACAGAGAAAATTAAAAGTAGATTTCATATATACAAAATAAACTCAAAACAGTTTAAAGGCTTTACCATTAAGACTTTAGCTAGTAAAGATACCAGAAAATCTTCTTGATGTCAATTTTTTTTAATATTACTCCCCAAACAAAAATATACAGATAAGAGTGCGGTAAACTAAAAAAAGCTTCTGCTCAGCAAAGGAAATAACCAATAGAGTAAAGAGACAAAAACCGACACAAATTTAAAAAGGGCAAAGAACTTTGACAGATATTTCTCAAAAGGAGACATATAAATGACCAACAAATATATAAAAAGCTGCCCAACATTACTAGTCATCAGGTAAATACAAGTATTTAAAGTGAGATCAGGATCTATCAGGAAGGCTACTATAAAAAAGACCAAAGATGGCTAAATGTTGGCTAGGATTCAGATTAAGAGGAACTCTTATACACCTATACACAACCAAAATGAAATCAGTACCTTAGAGAGAGAACTGCTTTAACTAATGTTCAGTGTAGAATTATTCACAATAGCCAAGATATGAAAATAAACTAGATGTCCCATGAAGGATGGAGAAAGAATATGTGGTATATTTATACAACAGTGTATTATTGAGACTTAAAAAGGAAATTCTGTCATTTGCGACTACATGAGTAAAACTAGAGGACATTAAACTAGATGAAAAAAGCTAGACAGAAAAAGACAAATATTCTGTGATCTCAGATGTGGAATATAAACAAGAAGCTAACAGTGGTACAGAATTTGTTGCTTGGCAGGGCTAAGGAAGGGAGGTGTAGAAGAAATAGATATGACAGTCAAAAAGGGCAAGATTTCAGTAATGCAATAAAAATCAATTCTGGAGATGTAATACACAGTATGGTAACTATATTTAGTAATACTATATTAACACTTTAAATTTGTTGAGAGAATATTCTTAAAATTGGTAATTATGGCCAGGTGCTGGTGGCTCACACCTATAATCCTAGCTTATCAGGAGGCTCAGATCTGAAGATCACAGTTCAAAGCCAGTCCAGGCAGAAAAGTCCCTGTAAGATGCTTATCTCCAATTAACCACTCAAAAACTGGAAGTGGCACTGGGGCTCAAGTGGTAGAGAACTAGCCTTGAGAACAAAGAGGCTCAGAGGCAGCAGCCAGGCCCTAAGTTCAAGGCCCACAACTGACCAAAAAATTTAAAAATGGTAATTATGTTTAGGGATAGAAATGCTTAATTAGTATTATAGTGCTACTCACATCACAACATATTTATACCTTAAAAAATGTTGCTCTACTGTGTTTCTACAATTTAAAAAATGCAACAGAAATAACCCAACAACTTGCCTGTCAATGCCAGTATCCAATTTCATCTCCATCTGCTCAATTATTTCTTTTTTCTTCTGAAGGCATTCAGATAATTTAGGAGAGGAGCTATTGTATATTTAAAGGGAAAAAAATCACATTAATAGCCTAATTTCAAAAGGTTTTTTATATACATATATTTATAAAAACATAACATACTTTAATTTACACTAACATGATTGCTTCACTCACACTAGAAATTCATTAAAAAGAAAGGAAGAGTAACACTGATAATCAATTGATAATGCCTAGTGTGCTTCCTTGAGCACACTAGGCAAGCATTCTACCAACTTTAGCTATACCCCTAACTCCTTTGTCTTTTGTTTTTTAGGTAGGATCCCACTAACTTGTCAGAAGAGGAAAAATTAAATTTGTTACTCTTTCTGTGAAGCTACCCTTAATTAAGAACAAAAAATATGTAATTTTGAAATTTGGTATCTATTCGTTTCCTTTATAAGTAAATGCTGGGTATTATACCAGGAAAGTCACAAGATATCACAAAACCCTTAAGAATGTATTATATTAAAATATAAACTGTTAAAAAAGACTATGTAATTCTCTGCTATATGGTATAACAATCCTTTAAAAAGCAAGTTAAAAAGTAAATTCCCTTAACTAGGTATAGTAATGCATGTCTACAAATCTCATCAGTTAGTAGGTTTTGGAAAGCAAGAGTCAAGTCACCCAGGAGTACATATCAAAACAAAGTAAAATGAAAATAAAACCCAATAAATAAATATTCTCTTAAAGTGCAATTCAGGCATTACAAGTGATCTTCACTTATGGATTATTCTTGGCATAACAATGTTTATGACACACTGACAAAATTTATCTTTTGCGTAAATATCTTTTCTGTAATAGTGTTAAAGAGATGATTACATACTTTACTCATTAATTATATGCTTTTAAAGTTCATATATAAATTTTCATAAAATTATGTCAACTCTTAATGGCTCACAAAATCTATCCCCTGGAAGTGGTGCTGTGGCTCAAGTGGTAGAGTGCTCGCCTTGAGCTGAAGAGCTCAGGGACAGCGCCCAGGCCCAGAGTTCAAGCCCTACGACTGACAGCTGCGTCCCCCGCCACCCCCCCAAAGAAAAATCTATCCCCTATCAATCTCACAGATTCCCCACCCCCCACCCCTTGGACCTGGGCACTGTCCCTGGGCTTCTTTTGCTTATGGCTAGTGCTCTACCACTTGAGCCACTGTACTACTTCTGGCTTTTTCTGTTTATGTGATACTGAGGAATCGAACTCAGGGCTTCATTCATGCTAGGGAAGCACTCTACCACTAAGCTATATTCCCAGCCCTCACAAAGATTTTTATGTCTTTATATTGTAATAAACAGGCTGTACCTGTTGAATCTTTTTTCTTTTGTTGTACTTGAGTTTGAACTCAGAGCTTTGCACCTATTATGCAGATGCTCTGCTGTTTAGCCATGCCTCAAGCTTATTTTGTTCTGGCTTATTGCAAGATATGGTCTCACTTTTTACCCAGGCCAGCCTAGACTGATCCTCCAATGTACCTGCAGAACTGTACCATCATGCCTAGCTTTCTCTGCTGAGATGGAGTGCTGTGGATATTTTTGCCTGGGGTGGCCTAGAATTGGAATCCTCCTGATCTCACCCTACTGAGTAGCTGGAATAAGAAAATATAGGCCATCAATACCCAGCTACTGGTTGAGATGGGAGTCTCACAAATATTTTTCCCAGACCTTGAACTGCAATCATCTGTTGGTGTCTAGGCTGTTGGATCTTTTTTGTTGTTGCAGTTGGTCATAAGGGCTTGAAGTTGGGGACTGGATGCTGTTCCTAAAGATTAGTGCTCTACAATGTTGAATCACAACTCCACGTCCAGTTTTCTGGATGTTAATTGGAGATACAGTCTCACAGACTTTCCTGCCCCAGCTGGCTTTGAACCATGATTTTCAGCTCTCAGCCTCCTGAGTGGAGTGAGTCACTCCTCTCAGTGAGTCACTGAAATTTTAAGGATGTAAATTTACTGAACTGTAGTAGGCTGGAAGGCCTCTTCCATACAAGATTTTAATTTTAGACTATGATAGCTATCTTTTCGAATGTACCAAAAAGTTGAGTTCAGCCCGGGAATAAATACGAGACCACATCTCAGTAGCTGGCTTCTGCATCACACACGTCATCCTTGCTATAGGGAGGTTTAGATCATATTCTACTTACACAACAGAAAAAGAAAACAGGAATGAAAGGAAAATCAACACTTTTTTTTGTGATACTGATGTTTGAACTTATAGCCTTGAGCCTGCTAGGCAGGCATTCTACTTTTTGAGCAATGATCCCAACCCTTTTTGCATTTGCATTTTTTTTGCCAATCATGGAGCTTGAACTCAGTGCCTGGGCCCTGTCCCTGAGCTTATTTTGCTCAAGGCTAGCACTCTACCACTTGAGCCAGAGCGCCATTTCTGGCTTTTTCTGTTTATGTGGTACTGAGGAATTGAATCCAGGGCTTCATGCATGCTAGGCAAGCACTCTACCACTAAGCCACATTCACAGGCCCTGCATTTGTTGTTTTTTAAGTAGGGTTTTACATGTAGCTTGGATCAGATTGTACTAATATCTACCTATTTATACTTCCCACGTGGAGAAAATGACATGTATGTTCTACCTCATCCAGCTATTAATTGAGATGGAGTATCACAGCTTGGTCGAAAACTTCAACCCTTCCAATCTCAACCTCCTGATAACAAAGATGACATGTAAAACAGAAGCCAGCTATTGAGATGTGGTCTCCTGTTTATTCCCAGGCTGAACTCAAACTACAGCTCTCTATCTGAGTAGCTATGATCAGACATGAGCCACTGGCACCTGGCTAAAAAGAATAATTTTATTTCTCATCTCCTGTCCTGTTGATGTTTTTAAAACAATTCAAAACATGATTTTAAAAAATTTAATATAAAAACTGTAATATTTACTGAAATATCAATGATTGTGACTAACCTTATTAGTGGCATAAGGTGATCATTAAACTGTTTGTCGAAAAGGTGAAAAATAGTATTGGCCTGTTGCACAACATCCAAAAAATAGAGATTTGCATTCTTAGAATCTGAAGAAGGAATTCCTACAATTTGAAGGAATACATACATGAAAATCAACCTTAAAGAAATTCACCTTGAGTAAAAGAAAATGGGCATTATATATATTGCATGAGTTAAAAGTAATGTTATTTCAAGATTCAGCAATGATTAAGAGAAAATTGTTAATTGCTTAATAAAATTCATTCAAAGCACTTTGCTGCTCAAATTTTTGCTATTTAAGATTTTGTTGAAATAAACCACGCAATCATCTTGCATCTATCTTCTCCTTTCCTTTCCAATTCTTTTTTTTTTAATTTTTATTTATTTTTTTATTGTGAAAATACTGTACAGAGGGGTTACAATTACATGGGCAAGATAATGAGTACATTTCTTATCAAGCATTGTAGCCTCCTCCTTTGTTTCCCCTTCCCAGCTTCCCCCCCTCACCCAATCCTCCCCCCTCTTTTCCAATTCTTTTTTTTTTTAATTTAATTTTATTTTATTTGAGAACATACTGTACAGAAGGGTTACAATTACATGGGCAGGATAATGCATACATTTCTTACCAAGCATTGCAGCCTCCTCCTTTGTTTACCCTTCACCTCCCTTCCCACCCTCCCCCATCCCCCCACCCAATCAAACCCCCCCTCCCCCCCCACTCCGACATTGTAAAGCTGGTTTTGACATGACATTGTCTTTTCCAATTCTTTAGTACTCAAAAATTCATACGCTCCATGAATACATCAACCATTTTTCTTGTAACAGGTCTTTATCTCATTTCTATCTCTAATATTTTTTATTAGTTTTCCTGTTTCCTATGTCTTTATCTTCTATCCTATATATCATGTCATAGTAAAATATACCTCAACTTATACATCTTACATTATCTATTCTTTCCTCAAAAATATTCAAAAATCAAACTATATCAGAGTAAATTCCTGATATTCAGCATAATAATCAAGCTACTCTACATTCTGACACTAAAAATTGAGCTGAATCACTGGATTTCAAAGTTTCTTTTTGTAAAGAATAATAGATACTCTAAGGTTCCTAGATATTTGCACTTTCACCCAAAATTAAAAGACTTGAGACTCAGAAAACTATCCAGAGCTTATAACAACATATTAGCCTAAAACCTAGAGTTATGTACAGAACTCATTTTAAAAATGGAAAATATATGTATTTTTCCACATTAGGCAAAATCAAGTGGTAAGAAAATTAAAGGCTCTGACACAAACTTTGAAAAGAAAAATACACCTCATTAATCATTATTATTAAGATATGAAAATTTAAGGCAATATTGTTGTTTTCAATTACCAAGTTATTGAAGTTTTTAAGGAACATTCAACAGTGTCCTGAAAAAGCAGTATATGTAAATAGGCTAACAGTAGTAAACATTGGTAGGGAAGAATCCTTTAAAAATAAGTTTATATCAAAATGAAAAAAAAATTGTGTTTTAAAACACCTTATTTTAAAACATATACACATATATATACATATTTATATTAGATACTTTGATTTGGTTATTTCATGTCTCTGATTTTAGCCAGAGAAAATAAGCCAAGATAGGGAATATTTAACCTATATAGTGTTAGCTGACCAGTACTTATTACTACTAAATTAAAATTTAGTAATTGAAATTATAATTTAGTAACTACCATTTCAAAAGGTTCCAGATCTAGAGTAACAAAGTATGGAAGCTATATGTGTTTGACAGAACTTCATAAAATCCTATTTTATTTCATGCCAGTCCTAGGGCTTGAACTTAGGGCCTGGGTACTATCCTTTTGCTCAAGGTTAGTTGAGCACTCTACCACTTGAGACACAGCTCCATTTCCGGCTTTTTGTAGTTTACTAGAAATAGGAGTCTCTTTTGCAGCCTTTCCTACCCAGACTGGCTTCAAACTCTAATTCTCAGCTCTCAGCCACCTGAGTAGTTAGCATTACAGGTGTGAGCTACCAGCACCCAAAAATTTTGTGCAGTCTTAAAAATAATATCAATAAGTGCTAATTAGCTATATGAAAAATACTTATGAATGAGCAATCTTTCTGTTCTAAGTGGAAATTTTCATAAGCCCTTCTCAATAGAGAATATTGCCCCTAAAATCCTTCATACGAAAAGTTCAAATTCTAATTATATTTTTAGTTCTCATCACATCTTTGCAGATTTAATTATCTCTAAATTAACACATTAATCATTTTCAAATGGCAATACTTGGAAGTCATCACAGGTCTTCTAATAATTAAGTTAAAAATATTTATCTTACTGGGCACCAATGGCTCACAGAGAACCATGGTTCAAATCCAGTCCTGGCAGGAAAGTCCATCAGACTCTTATCTCCAATTAACAAATCTATCTTGTTGCTTATAAGAGCAAAACTGTGAAAAATTGGGAAAGGATAAACCAGTTAAGCCAAAGCAACTGATTTATGCTAATTCTGGTTTACTGTTAGAATCTTTACAGAATGTATTTATTTGTATAGCTTTCAGCACCTGGCAAATCCTTATATTATAGAAGCTCAAAATTCATTCTACTAAATTTAACATATAGATGTAATTAGATACAAAAATTCTAATTCTATGTTCAGTTTAACTAAGTAGTACCAAAGAACTTTCACGGAAAGTGTGATACAAATATACTTACCAGCAAGTCCTGTTTCCAAAGCATAATCAATATGCTCAATACACAAAAATTCCACAAGAATAGTAAAAATTCTAAAGGCATTCCTTGGTAAATCAGAAGGATCCGAAAGCTTTAAAAACAAAAATATAAACAATATCACTCCTCCAATGTACCTTTTCTATTAATTAATTTAGTTATTATAAAGGTGATGTACAGAGGGATTACAATTGCATGAGTCAAGCAAGGAGTATATTTCCTCTCGTATAGTGTCTTCTGTCCCCTCACTCTCTCCTAGTCCCTCCCTCCAGTCTCTACCCATAAGTTGCATAGTTCACATTCATCAGTGTATAGTGAGCTCCACGGCTGCACCTTTTTCACCCGTTTTTCCCTTGAGTTCTGTACTCAGTGTACCTTTTAAACAAAGCGAACTTTTGCCAACTTAAAAAGTACTCAATTTTGTATAAAACATAGTATTTCAAGTATGAAAGTAACTTTTATTCCAATCCTCCCTGTCCATACATAATTACAATGGGTCATATTGATTTAAAACTCTTGCGTCTTAGAATAATGCTTTTAAACTTAAATTATAATCCTTTAGTGGAATCAACTACACTTACAACAAACACATACACTACACCACACATATATAACACGTACTCTGCTGCCATATAAAACACATTATTCATTTTGAGTCATGACCAAAGGGATTTGAGAGCCACTCACTAAACAAGGGAAATTCCAGTAAAACTCAGAACTTTTCAGTTCTTTTAATTGCTTCCAATGTTGTTTATGTTTTATTTATTAATTGTGAAAATACCATACAGAGAGATTACAATTACATGGGCAAGATAATGAGTACATTTCTTACCAAGCATTGATGCCTCCTCCTTTGTTTCCCCTTCCCATCCCTTCCCATCCACCCCCACCATGCCCAAAGCTGTAAAGTTCGTTTTTTTGACATAACAACTTATACATCTCATTGTTGCAATGGGTCCATCTGTATACCTATTTAAATGATGTTTTTTTCCCTTCCCCCCACAAATTATACCAACATCAAATACAGTGAAAGCAGGGTAAGTTATACCGGGGGGAGGGACATATAAAGCAACAAAGAAATTATCTTATAAATATGTTAGAGACAATCGCATGAAAGAAAAAAACATTTGAATACTTATCTAGGGGTTCCTATGTTGTTTTTATAAATTGATTTCTGCCTTTGTCAAGCTTATTTGTAGTCTCCATTTATGCAATCTTTCAGGATAATACTTATTAGAGGTAAAGGATCCCTTATCCAGAAGGCTTAAGACTAGATTTATTTGAATTTTGGATTTTTTTTCAGATTTTGGAATATTTGCATATACATAATGAAATATCTTGGGGATGGAACTCAAATCCAAATATAAAGTTCAGTTATTTTTCACACCTAATATACTACCTAATACACACAGCCTAAAAATGGCCCCATAAAATTTTCTCAGTGTGCCTGCATTTTGACTGCAATATATCCTACAAAGGCAAATATGTAATTTTCTACTGTGGAATCTTTATTGTCATTAAAGATTTTAGATTTTTGAACATGAAAGATTCTGGATTTTAAAATTAGGCATGCTCAACCTTAACGTAATAATATAATCCTTATGAAGTATGATATAATCCCTATGTATGAAATCAGAAGTTTGTGAGAATTCATAACCTTCTTACAATCACCATTAATTATAAATACTGATTTTGTTGTACACTTCATAACTACTCAACCTATATTCCTCACTAGTCTCTCTACCCAATTTTCCTCTTCAATCGATTCAACAAGTGTCCTTATCTTCATTCTAAACCATAAAGACTAAATTTAGCTTCTTACCCTCCTGTTCACATTTAAAAAGTCTATGCATAATATAGTTAAGGCAAACAGAAAATCGACAGATACAGAAGAGTCAATGAGCACAGTCAATGACACCTGACATTTACAGAATACATAATCCAACAACAATAGAACATATATTCTTCTCAAGTTCGTGAAACTACTTACTAATATGGACCATATTCCAGGCCATAAAACACCTCAATAAATTTCTTAAAGATTCACAGCACATAAAGTATATCCTCTAGAATGAAATCAAACACAAACCTATCTCCAAATACATGACAATAAAAACATACTTCTAAATCAGCTTAGGGTCAAAAGAAAGCAAATAGAAATTTGCAAATATTTTCAACTGAATAAAATAAAAACACAATACCAAAACTTCTTTGATGTTGCTAGTCTTTTAAGTGTGAAATTTAATACTAAATACAAATGGTAAAGAAGGTCTCCAATCAGGTAACAATGCTCGATAGGAAATGAACTCAATACCTTACTCACATAACTGTAACCCCTCTGTACAGTATTTTTACAATAAAAAACAAAAAAAAAAAAAAAAAAGAGAAAAAAGGTCTTCAATCAATGATCTCAGCTTCTACCTCAAAAAATAGAAAAAGAAAAGGCAAATGACACCGAACATGAAGAAAATAGAGAAGAAACCAAAGAAATATGAAATAGAAAAAAGACAAGCTAATGGCTCTTGGGGAAAACTGTAAACTAGAATGAGAGCGGTGACATGAGTACTACTTCTACAAATACAAAAAGACTAACAAAATGTCATGAACAATTTTATTCAATGAATGCAACATCTACATAAAATATGTCTTTAAAAGGCAGAAACTACCAAAGCTAACTTAAACTAGATTACCTGAATAGCCCTGTGTATAGGTGAGAAGCTGAATCTGAGGTTAAAATATTCTTACAAAGAAAAATGTAGGGGCTGAGGCATGACTCAAGTGGTAGAGCCTATGAATAGCATGCATAAACACAAATCTCTCTCTCTCTCTCTCTCTCTCACACACACACACACACACACACACACACACACACACACACACAGATAAACAGAAGAGAGGGAGGGGCATCTACAGGTTTATTAGTGAATTATACCAGTATCAAAAGGTTAAAACCTAAAAGTCTATCAATTTAACACAAACTTTTGGGGAAAACTGAAGGGGGTATAGAAATATTCCCAACACATTTCATGAGACCAACCTTTAATGATATCCAACAAAACAAAGACATTAAAGGAAGATAGGCCATCATTCTTCATGAACACCAATGTAAAATGCTTCATTTTTACCCCCAAATATGTATGTAAGATAACAGGGTAAAAGTCAGTTGATGACCAACTTGGATTTATTGAAGAATGCAAAACATTTTTTAAAATCAACTAATGTAATTCACAACATTAATAGAAAGTATCTGACAAAATCCAGCTTACAGACAGTTAAATTAACTAGAATAAGAAGAATTTCCTCATTGTGGAAGAATAGTTATGAAAAACCTGTAGTTAGCATACTTCGTGATAAAAGACTGACTACTTTACTCTAAACATTTGAAATAATGGAAAGTATTTATTCTTCCCACATTTATTCAATATCATATGGAAGTCTGGGAAGGGCAATTAAGGCAGAAGAACAAAATTATTTGTACTAGAGAGGAATTAAGGGAAATTCTCTTCAGGGAGACAACACAATAGTCTATATAGAAAATCTGCTGGAATCTATTTAAAAAGTTATTAAAATAAAAAAGTTTAATTAGGTTACTGGGTACTTAAGATAAACAAAAATCACCTGCATTTCTATATATAAACTAAACTATAAGTTTAAATGCATTTTTGTTTTAACTCCAGATAAAACTATAGATTCATTTTCATTCCAATCAAAACTTCACCTTTTTCCCAGAAACTGTGTTATGAGAATTATGAGAGGATTTATATTACCTGATTCAAGATCTACTCTAAAGTTATAACTAAGACAGCATGATATTGGTATAAAGACAAATGGAAATAGAAACAAACCAGAAATAAGTGACTGGGTTTTTATTTTTGTTTGGGTGTGTGTGTGTGTGTGTGTGTGTGTGTGTGTGTGTGTGTGTGTGTGTGTGTGTGTGTGTGTGTGTGTGTGTGTGTGTGTGTGTGTGTGTGTGTGTGTGTGTGTGTGTGTGTGTGTGTGTGTGTGTGTGTGTGTGTGTGTGTGTGTGTGTACTGGGTTTTTATTTTTGTTTGATGTGTGTGTGTGTGTGTGTGTGTGTGTGTGTGTGTGTACATGCATGCACACATGCCAATCCTAAGGCATAAGCTCAGGGCCTCCCTGAAGTGTTTTTCACAAGGCTAGAGCTCTACCATTTGAGCCTTAGCTTTACTTTCAATTTTTGGTGATGAATTGGAGGTAAAAGAAGCAATATCTTGTGTTCTATAACATCAGTGGGTTGACTTCAGATAATAATAGACTGAGTATTTTTTTAAAAGAATGGATTTTGAAAGGTTTTACCACACACAAAAAGTCTGAAAAGCTATATATCCTTAGGGTGATTTGAATATTATTCAATATGCACATTGATTAAAATATCATATCGTACCTAATAAATATCCTTTGCATAGAAATTATTTAATTTAAAAATAAAGAAGGGAACAAGGTGCTGCTGGCTCACCTTAATCGTAGCTACTCAGGAGGCTGAGATCTGAGGACTGTGGTTCAAAGCCAGCCTGGTCAGAAAGTCAGTGAGACCCTTATCTCTCATAAACTATTCTATCACTTTGAGCCACAGCTCCATGTCTGGTTTTCAGGTGGGTAATTGGAGATAAGAGTCTCATGGACTTTCCTGCCCAAGCTGGCTTTGTACTGTGATCCTCACATCTCATCCTCCTGAGTAGCTAGGATTACAGGTATGAGCCACCAGCACCTGGCAATTTTGATTTTTTAGACAACTTGCTATCAGGAATATAGAATTGCTTCTATTTTTTGTAAATTGATTTATATCTTAAAAATTTGTATGTTAGTTTTAATGGTCTTTTTGTTGGAATTATTCGGTTTTACTAAACTATTCAGAAAAAGCAGAAAGTGGTGCTGTGACTCAAGTGATAGAATGCTAGCTTTGAGCAAAAGAAACTCAGGGACAGTACCCAGGCCCAAAGTACAAGCCCCAGGACTAAGGGGGAATAAGAGAGTGGGGTGAGGGTCAGGGGGGAAAATGGCTCATATAGTACCAGTGCTTGTCTGGTAAGCATTAGGCTGAATTCAATTACCACGACTGCAAAAAATACATTTTTTTTAAATTGCTGTTGCTGCTGGTAACGGGACTTGAATTCAGGACTTGGGTGCTGTCCCTGAGCTCTTTTTGCTCAAGGCTAGTGCTCTACCCACTTTAAGCCACAGTGCCACTTCTGGTTTTCTGCTTGTTTATTGTTTATTAATTAAGAATCTCATGGACATTCCTACCTAGGGTAGCTTTGAACTGCAATTCTCAGAGCTCAGCCTCCCGAGTAGCTAGGATTACAGGCATGAGCCACTAGCACCTGGCAAAATACACACGTTTTTAAAATTACAAACAAAATCATTCTGTAAACAAAATAAAACCTAAAATACACAAGAACTGGTAGACAAAACACAATAAAATACAATAAATGTACAATCTTTCTTACCCTATGACATCTTTCAAAGGCTTGTTTGGTTTCTTGTAAAAGATTAACCACCACTTCTTGAGACAAGAAAGTTTCTCCATGGGTATCAATACTTGGCCCCAGTGGTAAATTGGTGCGTTGTCTAATTCTCTCTTTCAAATCTTGAATACTGTATACCATTGTAGCCAAATTAAAAAAAAAAAAAAGATTTTACTACATATACACAAATTTCAGCTTGAAGTATTTAGTGTACAACAACAGAAAAAGGACCAATAATCAAGAGCCCTAAATCAAATTACTATAATTTTGTGGAGATTTTCAGCTGAAAAAAATGAGTACATTTATGAGTTATGATCCTTATGAGTATATTCAGAGTTATGATCCGTATGAGTATATATTCAGAGTTATGAGGTCCTTAAAGTTTTAAATTTTTAACTCAGTGAAAAATAATTTGTTTTCTTCAGGAAGTGATTTATTTCAGTAAGTTTGCACTACAAATAACTAAACAGTCATATTTAAAAATAAAACTTCAGCCAGGAGCCAGTGGCTCGTATTTGTAAACCTAGCTACTGAGGAGCCTGAGATCTAAAGATTTTAGTTCTAAGCCAGCCCAGGCAAGATAGCTCTTAAGACAAATCTCTAACAACCAAAAGCCTGGAAGTAGACCTGTGGCTCAAGGGGTAGAATGCTATCCTTGATCAAAAAAGTGCTAAGATATATTTAAGTCATTTGAACACATTATGCATCTCTTCATTGTATGACCAGATGTAGTCAACATAACTCAGCTTTCCTAAGTATCAGAGAGTGGAAACATGTGGAGTATCTTTTTTTGGAGGGGGTGGGGAGTGGGGGGCGGTACCAGCCTGGAGCTTGAAGTGAGGGCTTGGGTGCTGTCCCTGAGTTTTTTGCTCAAAGCTAGTACTCCACCACTTGAGCCACAGCTCCACTTTTGGCTTTTTTGGTAACTAATTGGAGATAAGAATCTCATAGACTTTCTTGCAGCTTCAAACCATGATCCTCAGATCTCAGCCTCCTGAAAAGCTAGGATTACAGGAATGAGCCATCAGGCCATATGTGGGGCATCTTTAAGTAAAACTTTTTTTTGCTCCTAGAATACAGTTTTGGTTGTTTTTTTTAAAGGCTTATAACTTAAGGTTTTTAGTTTCCGTTTTTTTTCTTCTTACTGTCTTTCAGATTTTCTCTTTTTTTTATTGTGAAAATACCGTACAGAGGGGTTACAATTACATGGGCAAGATAATGAGTACATTTCTTATCAAGCATTATAGCCTCCTCCTTTGTTTCCCCTTCCTATCCTCCCCCCCCCCCTCGCCCCCTCACCAAAGTTGTAAAGTTTGTTTTCGACATAACCACTGGTACATCTCATTGTTGCAATGGGTCCACCTGTATCCCTATTTAAAGGATTTGTTTTTCCCCTTCCCCTCCACAAATTATACCAACATCAAATACTGGGTTATACTGTGGGGGAGGGACATACAAAGCAACAAAGAAATCATCTTATAAATGTGTTAGAAACAATCACATGAAAGAAAAAAAAAAACATTTGAATACATATCTTAGGGTTCATTTCCCTAACATCAACTTATCTGACCTTTTCTGCTTGACTCAGACATATACTAGATATTACAAATAAGGGAAACCATGGGACCTAAGTTTCTTTGGGCCTGGCTTACTTCACTTTATATAATTTTTTTCCGAGTCTATTTCCTAACAAATGGGGCAAGGTTATTCTTTCTGATGGAGGCATAGAATTCCATTCAGATTTTCTCTTATACCTAATTATAACCTTTCTCTAATCATTTAATATACAAAACTGTGGAACAAAATTATTTGGCTGCATAGTGTGTGAATTCTGGACTCAAAATTATATGACACTACAGAAATCATGATACCTCCTAGAATCATGTAGGTCCCAGGTAGTGAAGACCTGGAACTGAGATGTCATCAGCTCTAAATTGTCAACTGTTTATTCTTCTTTTTGTCATATCTACGTAACAATAAAAACTGATTCTTAGTCAATAACCCAAAAGAATTTACTCTGTCTGAAATGAAAAAGAAATAAGTTCTTTATATTACTGTCACTGTGCTTATTAATTTTTTCATTAACAAATGTTTTATATTTTAATCATGCTATATCATTTCAGCATGTAGTTCAAGATCAAGAGTTGGTCAGTAATATAACAACACTGGTTAAAAGAATTTTTTTTTTTTTTTTTTGGTTGGTCATGGGGCTTGAACTCTGGGCTTGGGTGCTGTCCCTGTGCTCTTCAGCTCAAGGCGAGCGCTCTACCCCTTGAGCCACAGCACCACTTCCAGTTTTCTAGTCGTTTTTATTGGAGATTAAGAGTCTCACGGACTTTCCTGCCCAGGCTGGCTTTGAACTGCGATCCTCAGATCTTAGCCTCCTGTGTAGCTAGGATTGCAGGTGTGAGCCACCGGCGCCTGGCAAAAGAATTCTTCACAAAAAATCTTGACAGTCAATATTTGATGTTTATCTAATCAATATTTTATAACTTTGCCCAAATTCACCATTTTTCATGCATTTACTTTTAACCATAATATATAAGAAAACTCACCCTCCTGTGCCAATGGCTCTTTTTTGGTGGTTTTTTGAATCGTAATAACGCTGTAGGATCATAGCACTTCTGCTTTTCAAATAACCAGTCTCCACCTCAATATAGTTCTCCAAATAGGAAATGAAAATGGATTTGATAAGCTTAGACAAGAAAGTCTGTTTATCAGTACCTAAGTTAAACTCCATCAACTTGCTGGAAAGATTGGTGGTTCTTTTCATAGAAAAGGAGGAAAAAAAGATTGATGTATGTTTTAGGTACAGTAGTAATACTAAGGAATATATATTTTTATAATGTGACTTTACTGACATATTAAGCTACTATTTTTAAAACCTTGGCAGACAGAACTTAGGATTTAGAAAACAGCCCTATAGAGTTATATACAAAGTAGAATGGAATACTACAAACAATACTAATGGTTTTAAGAACTGTCCAACTCCTGTGGGTGATCTCTAAGAATTTGTGAGACAATGATCCACGCTAGAAATGGAGACAGCGGCAGAATGGTCTCAAATACTTTCTTATACCATTCATCACAAAGAATCCAAACAGCACTGAGAGGTCTGCTCTCACTGTGCACCCTGTTTGTCTTTCTCCATGTGGACTCTCCTCTTATTTACTTCCCATTGTTGAAGACAATGTTGTTGCTGTTACCGAAATCAAACTTCTCCCCAAATGCAGAGATTGAAGGATAAGTAACAGTTTGAAAATGTCAAATAAAAAGTGCTCCATATGAAGCTTCTGAGATAATATCTCTGAGGGTAATCCTGTCATTTACAAAAGAAAAAGACAAACTCACACAGGACTTAACATTTGTTAAGAATGTTATTTCTTTCTAGTTTTAACTGCAAATAAATCTAATTATACTAACAATACAAAAAAGTAAACTAGCTCACAATTAAAATTACAAAAAAAAAAAATCCTTGAATCAGATTAAACAAGGATCTTCCCTTCTTAGTACAATCAATCGAAATACTCAAATCCTAAAAGTAATGGACTAAGAATGCTATACTTGCCCAATTCTAAACCAAAAATTCCTAAAAGGCATATTGCTATGTTAAAAACTATTAATTCAAAATACCTCTTACCTTTTACCATTTTTTTATTGTCAAGGTGATGTACCAAGGAGTTACAGTTACATAATAAATATATTTCTTGTCAAACTTATTACCCCTTTCCTCATTTTTCTTCCACTTTCCCTCCCCTTCTATTTACTTTAAAAAAGGAAATTGAGATTATTATTCTTGTAATTAAAAATATACCTTGTATATAGATCATAGAGATTTTTCAGATACTGCTCTGCATCCGACTTCCTACATTCTTCTAACTGATCTTTTACAAAACTCTAAAAAATGAAAGAACATCCTGTTAATTATATTTAACATATATATTATACATTCTTTTTTTTTTGGTCAGTCATGGGGCTTGAGCGCCGTCCCTCAGCTCTTCAGCTCAAGGCTAGCGCTACACCACTTGAGCTACAACGCCATTTCTGGTTTTCTGGTGGTTTATTGGAGATAAGAATTTCACAGACTTTCCTGCCCGGGCTGGCTTTGAACCACAATCTTCAGATCTCAGCCTCCTGTGTAGCTAGGATTACAGGTGTGAGCCACCAGCGCCCAGTTTCATATATATTATACATTCTTAATACATATATTACATTTTTTTCCTTGAAAATTACCACAGTTTTAGGGTATTCTATAGGTATTCTATAGGGTATTCTATACTCTAAAACAGTATTCCTTCAGTAAACATGGGAAGTGCTATTTATTACATTCTCATTCTAAAGAATTGTAACATATGAGCACTATCAAAGGTTATCAAAATCTTCCGTTTGAAAAACAAACACTGAATGTGGCTTAATCTACTGGTAGTAGAATTTAGGAAATGCTGCCTGAACACACTGTACTACAGAAGTAAAGGTTAAAAGCGAAATTACTGTTCTCCCTTTACTGGGTAATACTATACCAAAAAATTATACAGATCATATTTGTTCTTTGTTTTTTTCTTTTTGGTGGTAGTCCAGGGGCTTGGACTCAAGATTTGAGCACTGTCCTTAAGTTTTGTGCTCAAGGCTAGCACTGTACCACTTAAAGCTACTCTACCACTTTGAGCTAGCTTTTAGGTAGTTAACTGAAGATAAGAGTATCTCAGCCTGCCTTCCCTGGGCTGGCTTTGAACACCAATGCCCAGCATGTTTGCATTTCTTGTTCATTTTCACAAATATCAGTCTGAGGTCAAAGTGAGAACCAAAGCAAAATAGAATATCTGAAGCTACCTTACCACAGCCCATCACTATTATGAAAACATATTTCAAGCATATGCTCTAATGACAGAGTGATTAACATCTTCTCCTTAGTGAAAAACAAACCAGCTTTCAAAAATTATGATAATGCTGGAGCACAAGTGGCTTATACCTATAATCCTAGCTACTTAAGAGGCTGAGATCTGAGGGATCATAATTTGAAGCCAGTCTCAGGCAGCAAAGTCCCTGAGATTCTTATCACCAGTAAACTACTTTGAAAGCCAGAAGTGGATCTGAGACTCAAATAGTAGTGCTAGCCTTGAGCAAAAGAAGCTCAGGAATAGCAGCATGTAGACCTTGAGTTCTAAGGTCATTATGTAAGTAAGCTAAAATCTGAAGAAAAAAAAATCAAATAGAACAAGACATCACAAACTGCCTTAAAACTGATTTAATTTGTCACTGTTTAAAATTACCTGTAGTTTAATTTCAAATACATTCTGAATAAGTTTAGCAAGTACTGTTTCTGGATTACTGAAGATATCTCCAACTTGCTTATTCACACGTTGACAGAGTATTGCTGCATCTTCAAATATATCATTTCTCAAATAAGCACCCTAAATAGCAGAGTAAATATACATAGTGGATACATAAATTTTATATTAGTTTCAAAATAGAAATTAGCGTCAAATTAAAAAAAAATAAGATTGTCAAGTTACCTCCTGGCACTGCTTTATATAAACATCAACACAATGGGAATAGCCCTACAAAGAAGAAACACATTTTTATTGTTCTTTCAAATAAAAAACGTCAGGAAAAGCATTGTATGTAATAAAACTATGTCATTTTTCTAGTGAATGGCCAATAGTCATTGAAATTAATAAAATTAATAGTCAATAACCAGTACGTTAACATGAGTGTCTTTTCCTTCTTTTTATGATGAAATTCCCTGACTGCTTTATATCCTTGTTGGAGTTTACATGAAAGAAGAAAGCTGAAGTATGACTGTGCTCTCTACAGTGGATTCTGTCTTAGGATCAATCATCTAGTAAACTCTTTCACTCCAATACACACATACAAAAACACACAGACACACACAGAAAAGAAGTGAGAAGGACTGACGTATTTCCTTTCCTTTCCATGAATTTAGACAGATTTTTGTTTAACTGGCAGTCTGGAAATTTATTATATATATAAATAAAACAAAGCAATATTTGGGTTTGAACTCAGACTTCTGGACTGCTAGACATACAGTTTACGGCTAAGCCATGCCTGAACATTTACTCTTTATACTGAATCTATTTCAATAAATGTGTCTAAAACAGAGCTATACATTAAGATCAATAAAGTTAGATCTTTGGTTATCAATAAATCATACATTAAAAATGAGTGAGCTTGGGGGCTAGGAAGGTGGCTCAGTAGTAGAGTGCTTGCCTTGCATGCATGAGGCCCTGGGTTCGATTCCTCAGTACCACATAAGCAGAAAAAGCTGTAAATGGTGCTATGGCTCAATGGCACTAAGCTTGCTGGGTGCTGGTGGTTCACCCCTATAATCCTAGCTCCTCAGGAGGCTTAGATCTGAGAACTGTGGTTCAAAGCCAGGCAAGAAGTAAGTCTATGAGACTTTTATATCCAATGAACTACTGAGAAAAAAGAAGTAGTGCTACGGCTCAAGTGGTAGAGTGCTAGTCTTGAGCACAGAAAGACTCAGGGACAGTGCCCAGGTCCTGAGTTCAAGCCCAGCACCAGCAACCGCGACCCCCTCCCACCCCCAAAAAAGTCCATCAATATAAAGTAAATCACTGTCTCAAAAACCACTGCCAATATTCATTCACATTATCAAATAAAAAGTCCAATAAACAGTTTCCATTTTCCTAATGTGATATAAATACGAAGAAACAGACTAAAGGAGGAATTATTTTTCAATACCAGCATTTGAACTCAATGCCTTGAGCTAACTTTGATAGGGTGGGATTTTACTATGTGAATTACACTTCTAATCCAGAATTTTACTGGTTATCAGGGAGATGGAATCTCACAGACTTTTCTGCTTAGGTTAGCTTTGAACCATGATCCTCAGATTTCAGCTCTGAGCTAGGATTACCAGTGTGAGTCATTGACACTGAAATGGAAGAACTATTTATTTAAGCATCTTCTTCACAGAATATACTACCACAACAGATCTCCAATTCAAATTCTAGAAAGACAATTCCATAATACAACATCTCTCTGAGATCTCCTGGATTTCTTCTATTAGTCACATTCATCTACTATTAGGTTCCTATATTCTACTGGGTATTTTATAGTGAAGTTTTCTTCTTTTGACTTATTTGACATGTTGAGAAAAATACATTAAAAAGTAAGAGAATGACAATTTTGTCAAATTATATCAAATATTAAATATATAAATATTAAAATCCTTACTAATTAAATACCTAACATTTAACATTAGATATATAAAATATGCATAAAAATTACTATAAAAGTTAAACTTATTACTGTTATATAAGAGGGAAAATCAAATACAATATATAAAACTTACAAAATCTCTACAACCTTGAAGAGAGTCTTCCAATTTAAATTTGTAACAGTTACCTTAAAATGAAGTAAAACTGCAGCTACTTCCCTCATTCTGGAGATTTCACCTCTTCTTTGCGCACTTGTAAACTCCTGAATCAGTTGGCATTCTAAATCATGATATTTGCCTAAAAAAAAAAGAAAGCCACTCTGTTATCCAAGGATATTTTTATCAATGCGGGGGGGGGGGGGGGGGGGGGGGGAGAGGCACATATGGAGTGATGAAGGATGAGAAAATGCAGTCATTATATTCAATGAACATTATATAAAAACTGAGTTTTGTAACTTAAGGGTTGGGATGGGGAGGAAGAAGAATGGGAGAGAACAGTGGAAATGTCACAGTGATCAAGATTCATCATACTTATAACCTGATTTATGACATTGTAACCTCTGCACAACTACTGAATGTTTTTCAAAAGTATACAAGTTATATACATATATATATGCATCTAAGCTATTTATAAATATGACTACTATGGATATTCCTTCTTTTGAAACAATTACAAACACAGTGGGATTATAAACAGTGGACCTAGCTCCTAAAACACTGAAATATATAAATCTGTATTTTCAAGACACAACCACCAGAGGGAGGGAGGTAAAGAGAAGAATAAAATCCCCAGATGGCAGTTCTCACAGCAAAAAACTTAAAACATCCTGAGTCTTAAACCAAAAGCTACAGAAAAACTGAAAAGGACTAAAAACTTCAGTTTACTATTGTTCAGATGTCTCTACCATAAGCAATGATGGACTTAACAACAACAAATTTCTTAAGATGATATGTGATACTTGATTCACTATATTCCTTAGAATGTTATGGTTCTCAATGATTACCTAAGTCCAGCCTACACACGTCACCTTTATTCTTAGACTTCTGAAAATACAGGTGGTTTTTTGACCTTCCGTTAAAATGGTCCTCTAAACAGAGAGCCAAGCTACCAATCAGTGATTTGGGAGTTTACAAATACAATGATCTTCCAGAAACTCAGATGATCTAGTCTAAAATATACCAAAGATAGAAAAGAATCAAGCATGTAAGTATGTAAATAGATATTAAATATTATAATATCTTAACATTAAAATGAATCTTTTTCAGACATATATGTATGAATACAATTTCTCCAATTATATTAAGAACACAAGCTAGGTACTGATGGCTCTATGTGATCCTAGCTACTCAGGAGGCTGAGATCTGAGGATCTCGGTTCAAAGCCAGCCTGAGCAGGAAACTGAGACTCTTATCTCAAACTACCCAAAAAAGCCAAAAGTGGTACTGTAACTCAAGTGGTAGAGAGCTCACCTTGAGCAAAAAGAAGCTCAGGGACAGCGTTCAGGCCGAGTTCAAACCCCAGGACCAGCAAAAAAAAAGTCTAAAGCTACAATTTTTAAAAAATTGGGATGTGCACATGTGTGTGTGTGTGTGTGTGTTTGAGAGAGAGAGAGAGAGAGAGAGAGAGAGAGAGAGAAAGAAAGAAAGAAAGAAAGAAAGAAAGAAAGAAAGAAAGAAAGAAAGAAAGAAAGAAAGAAAAGAAAGAAAGAAAGGGAGAATGAATCAAAACATACTCTAGAAGAATGCCTAGACTAAACTGGTAACAGCTGTATCCAGAAAAGAAAAATCAAATTCAAAGATGGTATGAGGAAGATAACATTTTTCATATTTTCTTTCCTTTGCTATTTACTTTTTCCCTTTGGTGTAGTTTTTGTTTACTTAAAAAACCAGATAAATAGCTGGATGCTGGTGGTTCACACATGTAATTGAAGCTAATTAGAGGAAGTTAAGATCTTAGGATCGATGTTAGAAGCCAGCCCAAGTAGGAAAGTCTGAGACTCTTATCTCCAATTAACCACCAAAAAGCTGGAAGCAGAGCTATAGCTAAAGTGGTAAAGCACTAACTTTGATTACAAGAGTTGAGGGACAGGGCTGAGAAGGTGGCTCAGTGGTAGAGTGCTTGCCTTGCATGCAACAAGGCCCTGGTCCTCAGCACCACATAAGCAGAGGGAAAAAAAGCCAGAAGTGGTGCTATGGCTCAAGTGGTAGAGCACTAGCCTTGAGCTGAAGAGCTGAGGGACAGCGCCCAGGCCCAAAGTTCAGGCCCCATGACTGGAACAAAAAAAAAGAAGAAAAAAAAAAAAAAGAGTTGAGGGACAGTGCCTAGCCCCTGAGTTCAAGCCCCAGGACTGGCACAACTTTTTTAAGCCTAAATAAATACATTCTACTTACTTGCAATTTTGGATTTCACTTCTGAAAATCTGGAAGATAAAAAAAAACAGTAGTTTATTTTTTTTTACAATGAACATACCAGGATACTAATATAAGACATAAAAGGTTCACACGTAAATGGGAGCATTTCTATATTACCTCTGATAATAACCTCTACAATATTTCAGACATGTTTCTGTAAATTTAATACTACTACTAAATTAAAAGGTTAATATATTTTAAAAAAAAGAGGCAAAGCCAGAGAAAAGGGTATTGATATAAGGTACATTAACTAAATTTAGTTAATTCAGATAGGGTATATGTTTCTCACTGAGGAAATCATTGGGTAATCATTCACTTGTTAATAAGGAAAGATGTCTGCAGGAAGCTCTAAGAACATAGCCAGACCAGGATTAGATTACTATTCTTGCTTATTTAAAACTCACTTATTATGAAAAATAAAATTCTCACCCATCAAGCTTTTTAAAAATAAAGTTTAAATTATCTTTAAAAAAAAAAGCAGGGTGCAGTGGTTGATGCCTGTAATCCTAATTACTTGGGAGATTGAGATCAAGTAGTGAGGACTGTGGTTAAAGACCAGCCCAGGCTAGTGAAATGGAGTTCACAAGGCTGCATTTCAACCATAAGTTGGGCAAAGTTGTACATGCCTGTCATCCCAGCCACAAAGGAGACTAAGATTGGAAGGACTGCAGTTTGAGGCCTGCCCAGGCAAAAAATAAATAAATAAAAATAAAAATAAATTAAAGATACCCAATCTTGGTTAAAAAAAAAAAAAAAAAAAAAGGTATGGTGGCACAAGCCTGTCATCTCAACTATAGCTGTTACGTGTAAATAGGAAGATCATAGCTCAGGCTAGCTCAAGCAAAAAGCAAGCCCCAATATCAAAACTAACCAGAGGACTGGAGGCATGGATCAAGTACAAAGTCCTGGGTACAAACATTAGTACCATCAAAAAAGGAGAGACAGAGAAAGAGCAAGAGCAAGAGCAAGAACAAGAGCATGAGCACAGTGGAGAGAGAGAGGGAAAAAAGAAAAGAATGAGTAACAGTAAGATATGATATAGTAATGGCAAATGATAAAAATTAAAAATCAATGATTAATGACAAAAACTACAAATAGTTTTAAACTTAGAAAATGAAAGAGACTATACAGAGTACATCAACGTGCCTACATGAGCAATCATTCCATTTTTTACAAATTCAGACAAGAATAGACACATACAGTGCAGTGAATTTTTACTAATTCAAAAACTAAAATATCACAGACTAAAATATTTTCAAGTCCCAAATATTGAGGAAACTGTCATTGAGAGAGCCTGCAATCTATCCTTTGAAGACAGGAAAGTAGCTGGAAAAAGAGATGTTAAAGGCAAGTGAAAAAAGAAATCCAAATTTAAGAGTTACACAAGAATGATATATCAAAGTCATAATAGAGAACACAGTACTGCATTCCTACAATCCCAGCTACTTGAAAGATAGAAGTAAGAGGGTGAAGGTTGGCCAGGACAAAAGCATGTGACCCTATCTGAAAATAAACGAAGAAGAAAGAACATCAGCATAGCTCAAGTAGTAGAATGCTTGTCTATCAAGCGTGAGACTCAATCCCCACCATTGCTAAAATACAGAAGAGGGAGGGAAAAGGGACAGAGGAAAAGAAAGGAAAAGTAAGATGGGGAGTGGAGGGGTCAATCATAGCAAATCTCAGAATTCATGAGGCCAAAATGATCTGAGTGGAAAAAAAATTAGACCTGATTAGGACAAATATTCAACATCAAGGCTTAGTAGAGAGGCTAAAACTAAGAGAAGGGTAGGGGTATGGCTCAGTGGTAGAACTCAATCTCAGTACGTAAAAAACCCAACAAACAAAACTGTATGAACCTGAGGGATGGAGAAGGTAAATATACACCACTGTGTTTTGGAGAATAGAAGAATTGGAGATGTAGTCAACTATTATTAGCATGCACCTATTTTGAGGTAGATACAGTATATCATTTTAAGTAGTAAACACAGCAGTTTTACTCTGTAATTCCAAAAATTGTTAATCCTTATGATGATACAGGATTAACAGTTAAAATAATACTTTTGGCAGGGGAAGGGGATATTCACTTTATGTTTTAAAGTTAATGTTCAGAGTTAATGTCCATCTTTAAACATAACAATGCAGTCATATGCTGTTTGTAACTGAAACCTTTTAACAGAAGAACATCTGTTGTACAAAAAGTTGGCTTTCATCAGGCATTGGTGGCTCACCCTTGCAATCCTAGCTACTCAGGAGGCTGAGATTTGAAGATCGTAACAAAGTCGAGACTTTTATCTCTAATTAACTACCAAAAAAGCCAGAAATGGTCCTGTGGTAGAGTGCTTGACTTGAACAAAAAACTCAAAAAACAAACCCAGTCCCTGCATTCAGGATTCAAGACAGGCATGAAAAAAAATCATATCTTTCTTTCAGATATTCACACAAACTACCTCTACCAGCAACACTTTATTACAGAGTATAACATTCTGTTGACTAAAGGAATTTATGAAAAAATTTCCTTCTCAGCGGATAGTTTATATTAGGGTGAAATTTAATAGCAATGGCCCTGAGACCTTGCATTTACTCTGAAGTCTCCAGGAAATGTACAGATAAAATCTAAAGTACCATAAAATTATATACAATAATCTGATATAATTTTTAAAGAAACTGTTGAGTTGGGAAGGTGGCTCAGCGGTAGAGCGCTTGCCTTGCATGCATGAGGCCCTGGGTTTGATTCCTCAGCACCACATAAGCAAAAAGAAAAAAGCCGGAAGTGGCACTGTGGCTCAAGTGGTAGAGTGCTAGCCTTGAGCTGAAGAGCTGAGGGACAGCGCCCAGGCCCAGAGTTCAGGCCCCACAACCGGACCCAAAAAAAAAAAATTGTATAGCTTTCATCAGCCTTTCAAAAGTGCCCAAGACTCCTTAAAACTTAAGTACTCTCATCTAGAAATAGGAAAAAGCAACTTAATAGCCCTGTTCTAGCTGTCTCTTACCATCATGATTCTCAACACAAGAATATTCAAAATTTTACTTCAACTTCAATTTTTTTTCAAATAGCAAACAAGAAAAATTGAAATTATTTAAAGACTTAGTAGCATTAAGTGTATATACTAACAGTAGATTATATTGCTTTACATTATAACTTACAAAACAGAGCTTGACAACTTCTGTTGACTTAACAGGCAAAGAAAGTCAAAGAGAGAAAAAAAAAATCCATTCTATTCCATACATTATACTATATTTAAACATTAGCTCTTGAGACAAACTTACCTGTCAAAAGGTAACTCCTGTGCAATTAAATGCAACTTCTGAATGATGTCTGCTGCTTCCTTTATCTATTAAAGATTAAAAAAAAGCAACAATACAAAAAAAAAAAACACACAACTTTAGGCATATCCAAATTAACAGTACACTTAATAATAGTAAAATCTACCCCTTCCGTTTTTCTTTAAAACCCACAAATGAAACTGTGGGCAACAAGAATACATCTGAGGGGGCTGGGAAGGTGGCTCAGTGGTAGAGCGCTTGCCTTGCATGCATGAGGCCCTGGGTTCAATTCCTCAGCACCACATAAGCAAAAAGAAAAAAGCCGGAAGTGACACTGTGGCTCAAGTGGTAGAGCGCTAGCCTTGAGCTGAAGAGCTGAGGGACAGCGCCCAGGCCCAAAGTTCAGGCCCCACGACCAGACCCACCCCCCCCCAAAAAAAGAATACATCTGAGGTATCACCATAGTAAGTCCAAAATCCAAGCATTTGTCTTTCTGGTAGCAAAATTTTGTGGGGTGTGCACGCACGCATGCGTCCCAGTCCTGGTCTTGAACACAAAGCCTAGGCACTGTCCCTGAGCTTCTTTAGCTCAATGTTAACACTGTCACTTGAGCCATAGTGTGACTTCTGGCTTTTTCTGAGTCATTTTTTGGAGATAAGAGTCTCACAGACTTTCCTGTCCAGGATGGCTTTAAACCTTAATTCTCAGATCTCAGCCTCCTGAGTAGCTAGGATTATAGGCCTGAGATACTAGTGCCCCGGTGTGATTTTTTTTAAAATTTTTTAAATGCCACAGTTCTTTCCTGATGAAACCTATAGGCAATCTTTACTCTGGAAAAATTTAAATCTTTTCTTACTGAAAGCAAAGTGTAAAGTTCTTCTAAGTTTATAAACCTAAGAAAGATAAACAAGGTTTATGAAATGTTTTAGAACATGTTGCTGCACATGCCCACTTTAAGATAAATAAAGAAAATAGTAACAAAATGTTTGTCAATAACTATGTAAGTTTAAAACACTTGTTCTAAAAGCAAATATAAAGTTTAATATAAAGCCAATTGAATGAACCATAGTATAGAGATATATACTTTTGTTATTGCTGTCCGTCATGGGGTTTAAACTCTAGGCCTGGGCTCTGTCCCTCAGCTCTTCAGCTCAAGGCAAGTGCTCTACCGCTTGAGCCACAGTACCACTTCCAGTTTTCTGGTGGTTTATTGAGGTAAGAGTCTCAGAGACTTTCCTGCCTGGGCTGGCTTTGAACTGTGATCCTCAGATCTCAGCCTCCTGAGTAGCTAGGATTACAGGCTGGGCTGAGATAACTTTTAAAATTGTTAAACAGAGGAAATTAGACAAGGAGTAAATATTTTTTAATGTATATATTTGTACTTATTTATAGAACACTGTAGGTAAGTTCCAAAATGTATACCTTTCCCTTACATTCCTAATTAATGCTGACTTTTACTTTGGCAGAACTTTGAAAAATAATTTTATGGTGATTCTTTTCCTCTTTCATTAAAGAGTCTTACGAAAGTAAAGGAATGGCTAAGAACAATAATGTATTAGCTTTTTCTTTTCTATTTTTATTACTACCATTCATATTATTACTAGTACAACTACTACAACTCAGGGCATCACACTTGCTACATACACAGTGCTCCTCCAAGGGAATGCTTCCCTAGATTTTTTTATTCTAAGTGGTCATGCTAAGTGTGACAAGCAACTGTGGATAAGAGCAGGGCCTATTTCTTATTATTATTCCAAACAATAGTGAAGAGCATTCCCGCTTTAGCTACCTCTGCTTTCTATCTACTAAGTCATTGTCCTTTTCAGCTGCCATTTACACCTCCTACCCTTCTACAAAATGACACAAGTTATCAGTTCAGTACCACTCCTCTCAATACCATTTAGTTGTACTAGCAAATTCCATCATTTTCTCCTTACCAAAGAAAATAGCTGGTACACAATCAGCTCTGTATTTGTTCTTATTCTTTGAAGAGACCAAAGTATACTGTTTGCTGATTTTGCTTAACATAAGCAGTGATTTTGCTAGTACAATAGTAATACAATGTAGTACAGCAGTAAATCATGTTTGTTTTATTGACTTGTTTTAGCTAATTATTTTATAAAAACTGATTAAAGCATATACATCCCTAAAGGTTACAATAATATAATTAATGCAAATAAATAATAAATATTAAACGTATTAAAATCAAAATCTAATAATATGCTTGAATCTGATATTGATATTAGGATATATTACCCCCAAAATTTTAAGAATAACCAATTATTAAGCCTAATCTACATGAAAAACAATAAGATGCCAGTCTAAGAAAAATAAGCCACATACAGGTAAGGACAGCAGTAAACATCATATGGAGGGGAGGGAGGGGTTGTGGTTGCATTTTTCACAAAAATAGGTAATATTCTAAGACTGAAAATTTTGCTTACTGTAGGTTAGCAAAAAAAAAAAGTAAAAAAATAAAAAGCAAAAATTTCCCAGGAGCAAGAAGAAAAAGAAATATGATTTACTGATATCTTACTCAATTCTAATTCCTCTCACAATCACACATCTTTCTAGCTAGATAGAGTTTTCCTTTTTTTCCACTGTCAAAGTAATTGACAGAGAACCAAGAAAATGAGATAGTTGGAAACTTATGTAATAATTGGCAGTCTAATATCATACATGAATTCTTAAATGTGGTTAACTGTAATAAGAGTTCCAGGCCAAAAAAGTGAACACCCTTAATTAGCAAACAGTAAACCAGAACTTGTGAGAAAGATGAGAGAACAAAACAGAGGAGGAATCAAGCATAATAGATAAATAAAACTCAGCTGGGTATGTTGGCAGATATTAATTATAGTCACAGCTAGTCACCAGGTGGAAGCAGGAGGATTAGGAGTTCAAGATCAGTCCAGGCACAGTTAACAAAACTCAATCTCAAACAAAATATAAACAAAAGGGCAATGACACACGTACTCATGTGCAGCAAGCAGGGCAGGAGTGGTTAGCAACTGAAAATGATAATGGTAAGAGAACCTATTTAGCATGTTTATGGAACTAGGCTCAAATCATAGTGCTGAGAAGGAAAAGAAAAGGAGATAAGGAAGAGAGAAGGAAAAGGGAGGGGGAAAAGTTTAAAAAAAGGGAAGGAAAAAAGGAGGAAGAAAACAAGAAACAGACAGATGAAAAATAAGCAAAGGAGAGAAAAATAAATTTACTTAAATACTCTAGGAATCTTTATTTGCCTTTCCAAAAGCCCCAGGACCAGTAAATACTACTACTACTACTTCTACTAACAACAACAACAACATTTATCAAGATGAACTCCGGGAAATGGAAATAAGATCTTTTTGCTTGTGGCTGTTTTTGTTTTTGTTTTTGGTCTTGTTTGTTCATTTATCTGCCATTCAGAGGGTAAAGGGGGCGGGGGCATAGAAATGGTGGGAGAAAGGGTGAACAAATGCAGCAGTGATACTCACTAGACACTATGTTGAAAGTGAACTATACAATTTGTGGGTAGAAAGGGAAAACTGGGAGAGAACAATGGAAGGAGTGATATTGTTCAAAAAGAAATGTACTCTTTATCTGACTTATGTACTTATAACCTCTCTGTACATAACCTTTATAATAACAGTAATATAGACTTACTGTCAATCTGTTTCAGACTACAATCAAATCTCTATTTAAAGGTTCTAAAATTGTTCATTTTTAAAACTAGATTTTGTGTCCTTTACTCTTCAAGATATAAATACATTAAAATTTTTCCTGCATTAAAAAACTCATTATTGGGCTGGGAAGTTGGCTCAGTGGCAGAATGCCTGCCTCACATGTATGAGGCCCTGGGTTTGATTCCTCAGCACCACATAAACAGAAAAAAACGGAAGTGGTGCTATGGCTCAAGTGGTAGAGTGCTAGCCTTGAACTGAAGAGCTGAGGGACAGCACCCAGGCCCAGAGTTCAGGCACCATGACTGACAACAACAACAACAAAAAAAATTATTTAAAATATTGGCATCTTTTGGAGGAATTATTATATATGTGACCATTTTTCAAAGATCCTAAAAATTATAAATTCTATAACTCATAAAAATATCTTGCTTAATTAAGAGAACCTCAATAACACTTAGCTTTTAACATTCTGCTATCTGATATACTATGAAGTAAACTGGGAAAAAATTAGAAAAACTGTACTCAATATGAATAAGCAATGTTAGAATAAACACAAGAATGTCCACTTTATCATGCATTTTGATTTTCTTTTCCTGAGAAGGCGGTAAGCTAAATTAGCTTCTTTCAAGGCTGTTATATTAGCCATTATTATATACCCTTAGACCAAGTTTAATGAATTAAGTGTTTGAAAGGCTCTAACATGGGGCTGGGAATGTGGCTTAGTGGAAGAGTGCTAGCCTAGCATGCATGAAACCCTGGGTTCGATTCCTCCATACTACATAAACAAAAAAAAAATGAAAAAGAGTCTAACATAAATAATCCGTATTTTTCAATCCTCTATGATTCAAACTGTTCTAATTCCTTTCAAGAGATTTCTTTTATGACAATTTTATCATTTCAGTAGTTGTACAGAGGAGTTATATTCAACATGTCAGTTTATGGATACAAAGCTTCTTGATCAATGTTACCTCTTTTATCATCATTCTCCCCCATGTTTTCCAACTCCACCCATCCTCTCAATTTTCCTAGTTCCATTTTCACATATATACACTGAATATTATAACCGAATCCTCCCATCTTTATTCCCATTAAGTGATTAAAAATTAGAAGCTTGGAATTCTTTTTTTTTTTTTAATTTTATTTTATTTTATTTGAGAACATACTGTACAGAGGGGTTACAATTACATGGTCAGGATAATGCATACATTTCTTACCAAGCATTGCAGCCTCCTCCTTTGTTTACCCTTCACCTCCCTTCCCAGCCTCCCCCCTCCCCCCCACCCAATAGAAGCTTGGAATTCTTTTACAGAAAGGTAATTCAGCTTGCTAACAACGTAAGTTAACAACAACTTAGGTCAGATTAATCTACCACCACCCAATGGTATATAATAATTTAAGCACTCTATAAACTCAAATTTATAGATATACTTATGAACAGTTGATCCAGCATTTACAAACATGTGCTTTCATATATTAAAATATCAAGAAAACTAATTAAAATCTGAATATAAATATTTCAGCAATCTACAGGCACCATATTAAATTTTATTTCAGAATGATAAAAATTTTCATAACGTCAGCTATTCAACAACTCTGGAAGTTGTAACTACTGTTCAGAATCAGAGCATTATTATGAATTGCTGGTGATTTTCTTTCATCACCTTATAGTACTTACCTTTTCAGAATTTGTGAAAACGTCAGATTTCAATTCTCCATCTAGAAATTCATTAAAGTATTTCATCAATTTCTGAGCCTCCACTGCCCGTTGTCTAGGTGTGTTTACCCCCTCCAACTGGTCTCCGAGGTGACAGACTTTGGTTGCTACATAGCTAATGTGTTCATCTAGTTCTTGGAAATGTTGAAAGGCAACCTAGGAAAGATATGCTTAAGTATAAAATATAATCGGAGAACTACAAATCAAAACTATCAACGTAAAGCAAAGTGGTAAAAACACTTGCCCAACATGCTCCAGACACTGGTTTGATGCCTAGCAGCACAAAAAAGACTAAGTAACAAAAACTTTAAGACTAAACCTCCAATCTCATTTCTGCTTTTGATTAAATATAACACAGAAATTATAATGAGATCTACAAAATAGTTCATGATTATTAGTCTACGATCTGAAAACTTTAAAACTTTAACCATGTTATAAGCTTTAACACTTTCAACTATTACAACAACCATATTTATCATGTATACATCGTACTTAACAAAAGTACTCAGCACTACAGAACCTTAAATAATAATTCTGGAACCACTGAAACCAAGTATCAAAGAGCCCAGATATTTGAAGACCCCTCTTGATACTAAAAGAATAACATTTAAAAATGTCACAAGTAAAATTATTGATTAAAATGAAAATATTTAGTATGTATTTTAAATATTTAAACTGCAAGCTAAGATAGACATGGTGACACATACCTGTAATCCCAGCACTTGGGAAGCTGAGGCAGGAGGATCAAGAGTTTGAGGTCAGCCTGAGCTACATAGCAAGACTGTTTCATTGCCCTCAGCTTCCTAAAACAAGCGATGCTAAAGATTATATATGGTAAAATTGCTCTTTCTAGTTTTGAAAACATTAAAGTCTACAGCAATTATTTTACAAAGGCAACATCCTTCCCAGAATGTTCTTTCCTTTATCTCAAAGGATTCCTCTATGGTAGTTGAAAACTGTGTGCAATGACTGCCTTAAAATTGTCTCATTAGCAGGACTGCTGACAATTCAGTACGGTACTTCTGTTCTAACTTTAAATCAAGGGGAAAAAGCTATAAACTGTACTGATGGCTTCTTATATGTTAGATATCATTCTAAATATATATATATATTAAATAACTCTCATAAGGATTATTAGCCCTGAGAGGTTAAACTGTTTCAGATTACACAAAACTAAGAAATGTCAGAGCTACAATATAAACTTAGGTAAACTGGCTCCAGAGTTTGTTAGCTTAATTATTAATACTATTTTTATTACCAAAGGAAAACTGCATTAGAAGCATTTGGAAACTGTTACCATAACTACATGAAAACACACTCCCCATCTCATTAAATTACTGATTTTTTAATTACTTTCTCACAGCCATGTATGTTTAAAAGAACATGAAAGAACCTAAGTAAATGAAGTTCTTTAGCAGAAAACAGTTTGTTAATCCCATCACTAAAGAAAAAAACCAACCCATGGGAGGCAGTTCAGAGTTCAACAATACTCTTCAAACTACATTTAGAAAGGGCAAATTGTGAAAGGAATTTGGAGATTCCAGATTAACTCTAGGGCCTCTAAAAGTGAGTACGAAGTTGGCCTACTTAGTTCTAGGGCCAAATGTTTTGGTTTCACTTCAGAGTAGAGAAAATATTCTATATCTGCTTTTCTAGTTTCAGTAAAATTCTCACTCAGCCATATACTTTATACTTTTGTGAAACTACCCAAAAAAGGTTTCTCTAAGGAAATCTGATCCAGGTGTTTATTTCTTCATGACAGAAGAGACGGCAAATGACTCCTAAATATTCATGCTATAAAGAGTCTCTAAAAGAACAAGTCTATGTAGCAGTCATTTAGAAATTTTTACATCGTAAGAGCACAGACCACATCACATCTGAATTATCATCCTAGCCTGAAAAGGGAATAGTGTGATCCCAAACTAACATCCAGTAACAAGTCAATGTCAATTCGTAACATCATTAATTGTTTATCTGCTGGGACCAGAGAAAAGACAAACCTCAACTGCTACTGCAATTTGACTTGACTCTCAAGAACTTAAAGAGAAAAAAAATAAAAACATATCCTACATAAGCTATTCATGCCATTGCTAAATGTTACCTGGTTGCTTTTCTGGAGCTCTTGTACCTTCTTGGCAAATTCCTTGGCTTCCTTCTGACATTGTTGTTCTAATTTCTCTACTTTCCTCTGAATCCTTTCATCCATTATCTGGAGTTCTTGAATATGATTTACAAATTCTTCTAATAATCTAATAGAGGAAAATTAGAATATGTATCAACCTACCCTTTATTTGTTAAAAGGAAATTGACTAGCTCACTTATAATCACTAAACCTTTACTTATTTTTACTAAGTAGTGTTTTAATAGAATTCTCTGATAGCAACTTGTTAATAATTTCTCGTAGAGTAATTTAGTCTTCCTAAAATGTCATAATTTCTCTTTTGCTTTGTCTAGGTCACATTGTTTTCAAAGGAACACTGCATTTGGAAATATAGTTACTCTTTCTTAACTTTTCAACAGATTGTCTCTGAGGTAAATAAAAACATCCAGAATCTCCATTCAATTTTCAAAATAGTTGATGTAAATAAATGCACAATATAAATATATGATTCATTCCCCAAATTCAATGACTATGTTCTCTAATTTGCAGCTACTGTATTTTGAAAAACATTTTCAACATGTGTTATTGGGAGGGAGGAATTCTTTATTTCTTTATTTTAGGAGAGTCTTATCATGTAACCCAAGCTGACTTTAAACTTTGCAAGGTTTCTGAATGTTGGCATTCAGCTCTCCGATTGTTTCTTTACCTTTTAGGATCAAAAGCTTCCGGTCCACCTCTAGAACCTCCTCCTGGGGTTCTCCATACAAGACGTTCAATATACTCGTCAGCCACAAAAGGCTCCTAGTTCACAAAACAGTTTTATGGAAAATAACAGCATTATTTTAAGAATCTTTGCAAAATTTAGTTTATTTTTATATGTAACCAACTTTATGATTTATCTCGGCAAATGTCTTTCTTGATTCACTTCTGTAAGTATGAATCAAATTTGACAAATTTTCTTGAGTCCTTCTGGGTGGTTTTCCTATTAAGTAGGCTCTCTACTACTTGAGTCACAACCCCTGCTCTAGGTTGTGTGTGTGTGTGTGTGTGTGTGTGTTTGTGTGTTTTCTGTATTCTATTTTTTATTGTGAGAATACCATACAGAGGAGTTACAATTACATGGGCAAGATAATGATGTCAAGCATTGTTGCTTCCTTTGTTCCCCCTTCCCCACCCTTCCCATATTCTCCCCACCTGACCTTCCCCCCCACACACACACACCAAAGTTGTGAAGTTCGTTTTTCGACATAATGACTTGTACATCTCCTCATTGTTGCAATGGGTCCACCTGTATCCCTAGTCAAACGATTTGTTTTTCCCCTTCCCCTCCACAAATTATACCAGCATCAAATACAGTGAAAGCAGGGGTTATATTGTGGGGGGAGGGACATACAAAGCAGCATAGAAATCATCTTATAAATATGTTAGAAACAATTGCATGAAAGAAAAAAAAACACTTAAATACTTATCTTGGGTTCATTCCCCTAACATCAACTTATCTGACCTTTTCTGCTTGACTCAGACATATACTAGTTATTGCAAATAAGGGAAACCATGGGACCTATGTTTCTTTGGGCCTGGCTTACTTCATATATACTTAATATAGTTTTTTCCAAGTCTTTCCATTTCCTAACAAATGGGGCAATGTCATTCTTTCTGATAGAGGCATAGAATTCCATTGATAACAGCATTATTTATTAATATAAAACAAACTTTAATATGAACACTGTTGAATGACTTTTTAGTTCAATATGGAAGTCATTCTCTCAATACAGAATTGGAGGTAGAAATGAATTGTTCCTTAATTCAGAATATCTACCAAACACTTACATATGCTGGGCACTGAGAATACAGATGTGAAGTCAACAGACAGAGTTCCCTGAAAAACCTCATAAAAATGATCTTCTAAGTAGGGATGCCAATTAACCAAGTAATCACAAAAACAATGAATTATAATTGATTCAAATGTGATCGCCAGAAACGTTCTAACAGAGGAACAGAGATGCTGGGAATATAGGAAGTTCAGATGAAGACTGGCTAGGAAGGGTGCTGGGGCAACTAAGCTGTGAGCAGAAGACCAATCAGCCAGATAATAATGGAACAAACTGTTTTCTATACTGTTAGGGAAAGGGAAGATAAGTTTTAACTGCTAAAGGAACTGAGAAACAGGCGCAGCTGCTAGGTCCAAGTAACCACATATAGAAGATCCAGAGAGGGATGACAAGATCAATAAATGGTTTATTATCAGCACATTTTGAATGTGAGGAATGGATCACCCAGTCTCATGCAGTAAGAGTAGGTAAACACAGCTGAATTTCAGTCAGAATAAGAATAACCATCTGAAAAACTATCAGAATGAGATAGGAATGCCTTATATATGTGTTTTATCTCACATTAGTAAGGAAGGTCCTATTTCATTACTATCTGAAGACACTGAAGTTGTGAGACATTAACTACTTATTCAAGAAAACACAATTTATATGCTATAACCCTGAGATTTAAATTACTCTATTCTACAGCTATAAAGTGAATGGAAAGTTCAGTAAGCTATAAGAAACTACTAAAGTTATGTTAGTGAAGATAAGCAGTGAGGCTAAGAAAGAATAGACTGATACATTTTATCATTGGTTTTTTCCTTCATCATATGGCAAATACTAGCATCCTTTTTCAAAGTCCTTCTGTCTTTTTTCTCTTCTTAATCCTAGTTACTCAGAAGGCTGAAATCTGAGAATCGAGGTTCAAAGCCAAATCTGCCATGGGCAGGAAAGTCCATGAGACTCTTACCCAATTAACCACCAGAAAATCGGAAGTGGCACTGTGGCTCAAGCGGTATAGCATTCACCTTGAGCTGAATAGCTCAGGGACAGCATCCAGGCCCCAGAGTTCAAGCTCCACGACTGGCCAACCAAAAAAAAAAAAAGTCTTTATTTTGTTATTTTTCTATGAAGGAAAAGAACTCTATTTTGAATTAAAAGACTATTGGACTCAAATGTTGTTTTCAACAAAAGAAAATCGTAAAGCCTAAAAGGAACTAGGGGGCTGGGAAGGTGACTCAGTGGTAGAGCACTTGCCTTGCATGCATGAGGCCCTGGGTTCGATTCCTCAGCACCACATAAGCAAAAAGAAAAAAGCCGGAAGTGGTGCTGTGCCTCAAGTGGCAGAGCGCTAGCCTTGAGCTGAAGAGCTGAAGGACAGCGCCCAGGCCCAGAGTTCAGGCCCCACGACCGGACCCAAAAAAAAAAAAAAGGAACTAGGAAAATATGGCCTAGTCAAAGGGAACAAACACCGAACAAAAACTGTATTGAAAAGTCCTAACGGTAGTAGATCTAGCAATCAAAGACTTTAAGAACTGTCTTCAAGATAAGCAAAGAAATAAAGATGTGAAGTCAAAAACTATGCATAAACAAAATGAAATTATGAATAAAAAGACAGCTTAAAAAGAACAAAAAAACTGGACCTGAAAATTATAACTGAAATGAAAATTCAGTAGAAGAATTCAAAGGCAGAGCTGAGTAAGAAGAAACAATCTGAGAATTGAAGATCGTACAATGAAAATTACTGTGACTGTGAAACAGAGGAAACACAGTTAAAGTCAGCAGAGCCTAAGATATCCATGGGGCCCAATCCAAGTGGACCTATATACACATTATAGAAGTTCCAGCAGAAGAAAGAAAGAAAAAATAATAAGGGAGAAAACTGATATAATAATGGCTGAGGACTTCCCAATTTTGCAAAAAGACATAAATATAAATATCCAGGAAGCTCAAAGTACTCCAAGTAAGATTAATTCCAAGAGATTCACATAAAGACACTTAAACAACATAATTAACAAAATAAATCACATATAACAAAGGCATATCTGAAGTATACCAGTTCAAAAGCAGTACTTTGTAAAGATGGAGCACTAATCTTCAAGACGCAGTATGCATTCTGAATCACTTTTTGGTGTATCCTCAATAGGAAAAACATGAATCCAGAAAGAAGTAGTAGAAAACATGGCCATGACCCTTAGTTTGTGTATATTTCTAAAAATCTAGGGTCTGCAGTAAAAGTCAACCAAAGGAAGGACACTTGGCTAGGAACAGAATCCCATTATAGATGAATGTGCTGCCTATTCACATTTATTGCTTATGTTCAAGGAATAAAAAAATGATCAACTTTTGCAGAGACAATCAACACTGATCATTGTAATCAATGAGGCCAGCAGAGAAAAGGAATATTATCTTTGTCATGCAAGTGATCCTCTTGGGAGTATGAACTCCCCTAACCAATTCTGAAATTGAAAACCAGTGTAATAAAGGCCTAACAAGGGTATGGCAACCAGTTAAGACAAGAATTTTAGAAATGGATGTGAGGGTGATCTGGCTGTGACACCTGTCAACCCCTCCCCCCACATCACCAGGGTTGATTCGCCTGATCTGGCTGGCTAGGCAGTTTCGCCTGATCTGGCTGGCTAGGCAGTGTCTCCTTACTTTCTCACCACTCCCTGCGTGTCCCTCCCAAAGCTGCATGTTTGACCAACTATGATGACCATCCCCAATAGATGAGTAAGTATACGAGTAGTTATGCCTCCCTGCTAGAACCTCCAAACACACTCTCAAGAATTAAAGAGATGGAAGTGGTACAATGGCTCAAGTGGTAGAGCACTAGCCTTGAGCTGAAGGGCTGAGGGACAGTGCCAGGTCCAGAGTTCAAGCCCCATGACTGAAAAGAAAAAAAAAAAAAAGAATTATAGAGACACTATGCAAAGTGAAGTGGAGTTAGAATGTGTAGTAGAGGAGCAAGACAGTATCAGTTGCAACCAAGACTAGCTATAGTTGCGGAAACTGCTCATTCTACTCATATTCTTCTAATTTTCCTCCAGGATGAGACACAATTGCAATTTTAAATATGAAGATGTGGAGTCTAGACACAAGAGCAGTCTATAGTAGATACAATTATGTGCACTCCAGATCTCCCATCGAAAAGAAACTTGCTCTAGCTACTAGTACCGCTGTCAGGGAAAAAACAAAAACAAAAACAAAAAAACAACCTTTTACTTGGCAGTATTTGTGGGGATCCTTTCAGTATAGGATACACTTCACTCAATATCAGACCTTTCTCAATATAGCATGAGTCCAATGACTGATTGAGATGAGCATATGAAAGCCTGATCCCTTTGGCCAAAAGCACACAACTACAAAAGGTCATTTTAGTTCCAGAACTCTCTGTAGGAGCCACCAATATTGTTACTGGGCTATCATTGTACCTCTCTATATATGTCAAAAAGGCCTTCACTAGAGGCTAGCACCTTGATTTTAGACTCCTCAATCCCTAGAACTGTGAGAAATAAATTTCCTTCAATTATTTGATCTGTGAAATTCTGTTAACAGTAACACAAAACAGACTATAATAACACTATGCCCATACTAAAAAACTGGCTCAATTCTTCCCTAGTGTTCCATTTGGCCCTTGAATGGTTCCTTCCCTAGATGATACACATTAATTTCTCCATTCTTGATTTCTATAAATCTAAATCCAATGGAGAACCATGTATTACTAATTGTTCTCTCTCATTCCTTCCTTCCGGTCTTCCTTCCACCTTCTCTCCCCTATCCCTTTCTTCCTTTGTACTAAGAGGTTTGAACATAAGGCCTTGCTAGGCAGGCACTCTACTACTTGAGCTAAGCCACCATATCTTTTTATGCATTTGTTATATTTTTTAATAGGGCCCAGGCCTGCATAGGCACCCAGCTTCATTTTTTTGTCTTAAAACTATTTTTTAAGTTCTTTTCACCACATTTTAATTGAAAGCAAAGGTA